AGCTTATGTAGACATGTAATGGTGTTAGCGTATGTAGACATGTAATGGTGTTAGCCTATGTAGACATTTAATGGTGTTAGCATATGTAGACATGTAATGGTGTTAGCATATGTAGACATGTAATGGTGTTAGCGTATGTAGACATGTAATGGTGTTAGCATATGTAGACATGTAATGGTGTTAGCATATGTAGACATGTAATGGTGTTAGCGTATGAGACATGTAATGGTGTTAACATATGTAGACATGTAATGGTGTTAGTATATTTAGACATGTAATGGTGTTAGCATATGTAGACATGTAATGGTGTTAGCTTATGTAGACATGTAATGGTGTTAGCGTATGTAGACATGTAATGGTGTTAGCTTATGTAGACATGTAATGGTGTTAGCGTATGTAGACATGTAATGGTGTTAGTGGATGTAGACATCTGGTAATCTGGTAATCCTAGTTTCAGCTTCATAGCAAACAGGTCACCCCATAGTTGCTCCGCTCCTGTGCCATAATTTAGTGAACACTGTGCCATAATTCAGTCAACACTGTGCGATAATTTAGTCAGCACTGTGCTAAAATTAAGTATCATGAACAAATACATTCAGTACATTTATTCTGCCATGTGATTTTATCAGCTTGTTAGCATATGTAGACATGTAATGGTGTTAGCATATGTAGACATGTAATGTTGTTAACGTATGTAGACATGTAATGGTGTTAGCATATGTAGACATATTATGGTTTTAGCGTATGTAGACATGTAATGGTGTTAGCATATGTAGACATGTAATGGTGTTAGCGTATGTAGACATGTAATGGTGTTAGCGAATGTAGACATGTAATGGTGTTAGCATATGTAGACATGTAATGGTGTTAGCGTATGTAGACATGTAATGGTGTTAGCGAATGTAGACATGTAATGGTGTTAGCGTATGTAGACATGTAATGTTATTAGCGTATGTAGACATGTAATGGTGTTAGTGTATGTAGACATGTAATGGTGTTAGCATATGTAGACATGTAATGGTGTTAGCATATAAAGACATGTAATGGTGTTAGCGTATGTAGTCATGTAATTTTGTTAGCGTATGTAGATATGTAATGGTGTTAGCTTATGTAGACATGTAATGGTGTTAGCTTATGTAGACATGTAATGGTGTTAGCGTATGTAGACATGTAATGGTGTTAACATATGTAGACATGTAATGGTGTTAGTATATTTAGACATGTAATGGTGTTAGCTTATGTAGACATGTAATGGTGTTAGCTTATGTAGACATGTAATGGTGTTAGCGTATGAGACATGTAATGGTGTTAGCGTATGTAGACATGTAATGGTGTTAGCTTATGTAGACATGTAATGGTGTTAGCTTATATAGACATGTAATGGTGTTAGCGTATGTAGACATGTAATGGTGTTAGTGGATGTAGACATCTGGTAATCTGGTAATCCTAGTTTCAGCTTCATAGCAAACAGGTCACCCCATAGTTGCTCCGCTCCTGTGCCAACGAAAAATACATGTAGCTCACAGTGTCACGCCATGCACTCAACCATAAGCTGGGCGACGAAACTATATCCTTCCAGTCTACAAATGGAGCAAAAATGCAACTGCCACCGTCTGGCAGGAAATAAAAAAAGGTGGCCATGCCTAGCGTCCATTTAGACCTGAAGCATTATATGAGGGTTAATAAATGGTTTGTAGACATGTAATGGTGTTAGCATATGTAGACATGTATTAATGTTAGCATATGTAGACATGTAATGGTGTTAGCATATGTAGACATGTATTAATGTTAGCATATGTAGACATGTAATGGTGTTAGCATATGAGGACATGTATTAATGTTAGCATATGTAGAAATGTAATGGTTGTATGTTTAGTTAGAAGACTTCAGTTATGCCTTAACCCTAACATTTAGTACATCAGTCTGATTTGCCATTTCTCTGAATTCTGTGCTTTTGAGAGACCTTGGTGGATCACACGTGTCGTGAAATGATAGCCATTACGCATCGGTCTGTAAGGCTGATAACCTGTCTTACCTGTAATCTGCACAAAATTCAAACTTGGACTCGCCCAGAAATATATAGTCCCTTATATCTATATATATAGGCCTGTATTGGACAACATTATTATGTCTGCCTTTTCTGGTTACTTTAACTAAACTCCACTTTTAAATGTATATATGGAAACCGATTTACTCCTTGCCCCAGTATACAAGGAACTTCTTTTGTACCAACGCCTGAAATGTCTAACTGACGCCATTCTCCTTGCCAGCTTCTCAAGCCTCCAGATGTGTTAATCTGTGCCTGTAAAACTTTCAATTTTCAAGGCAATCTGGAAATGTCTCAGTTTTTACATATGCTTGGGTAAGTTAATTATAGTTTACGAGTACCTAGAATAATGTCTGTAAAGTAGTCACTGCTGTAGAGAAATCCATATCGGCTGTGTGATCTCACTTAGCTCTACCATTCTTGATCGCTAGAGTAGCGGATTCGAACGTAGATCTTCCACTGTACAGACTAAATAGCTTATGCCCTCAATAAACCACCCATACTGATTAAAACTTAATGCCCTTACAATTGTGTACGTTTTAAACTACTTACAGAATCTGTACATACGAGATGGGGACAGAATTGGGTCAGGGCTGTGTTAATCAAAGTATGTGTGTGTTTGACCCAGATCAATGAGTGCTGGGGCGGTTGGGAAAGCTAGGAATGCAGGTACTGACAGTAAATATTGGTGTCTGTGTGCAGAGTGAGGGGGAGAGGGAGAGTGATATATGTGTTAGACCACTTTATCTATCTCCACTGTATATCTGACTTGCCTTCTCTTGCACTAAACAGACAGATAAATATAGGAGACTTATGTCTTTTGGTCTGGAGAGGCAATCTGAGGAATGAAACAGGAGAGCAGGGAGGAGTCAGCAGATGGGGGTTGATGACTGATGCTTGCTCTGTCTTTCCTGTCAAGATGTTACCCTCTTGATGATGACTAATGTTGAGTTATTTTCTTGACAGGATGTATATTTTCTGAAGAGCTGGCAGAAGATTCACAGTCTCACCAACATCCACCAACTATCCAACCACCAGAACCAACTTGTTACCCACCAGCTAACACCTGTGAAGGTTCCTGACATCTCCAAAATGGGGGAGATTGTGCCTCAAACAGCTACCAGTGCTAGAGCTTAATGTGGCTCAAAGATATTGTGTGTCCTTACTGGTGATAGAGACTTGCTAAATACCAGTACAGTTGCTGTACAGTGAAGTACTCTTGCTACTTGATCCAGTGGAGCAGAATTCCCAGAGTCAAAGACAGTCAAATCATCCGGAGCTGAGGGAGGCATCATAGACAGAGATAAGAGAAGATAAGTCTAATGCTTCGCATGATGTTGTGTTCCTCACAGCTCCCTGTGTCCAGTGATGAGAAGATGTCATCTTCAAGACCTTCTGTCTGTGTAGTGTCTGTTTGATTTGGACATGATATCCTGAGATCTGACAATTGTCTCACTTTTATATATCTAATTTATATTGATTACATACATTCATTTTCATGGCTGACTTAGGTGTCTCTATTTCACCTTTTTAAGTGCTTAGCAGTTGTGTATGTATATGTATCTTCATTATATGTGTTAACATGGTTATGATAATGAACTATCATAACCTGGGGGCTTTCTTTAGTAAGTAGTGGGGGTGTCCAACCAAGTGTGCCTAGAGATATTGTATACATATATACTGATATACTTTGTAGTGCCAATACTTGAGTTGCCCTACTCCAGAGATAAGTTGATCGTATATTGGCCACGGGGAATCCCTTAGACCAATACGAGCCAAACGACTCAACATAATTATCTCTGAGTGCTGCTGGTTCTGAAGGAGAAATCCTTACATTAGGCACGCGACAGGAGTGATATGTGACAACACGTACAAATAATACAATGCTTTAGAGAGACCTTGGTGGATCACACGTACTAATAATACAATGCTTTTGAGAGACCTTGGTGGATCACACGTACAAATGTCACACGTACAAATAATACAAGGCTTTAGAGAGACCTTGGTGGATCACACGTACAAATAATACAATGCTTTTGATTTTCATTCTCTTGTGAAATATCTGTCCAGTAGAGAAAATCAAATGTCTCTTGGGCTAGAATTTCCCTGGATCCCACAATGTACATGTAATGAGTCATGATTCAACTTGTAATAATTCGTTGCTTCACTTGGAATGAAGCGTGGTTTGCACCTTGAAATGTACCTTGGTTCGGCTTGGAAAGAACCTTGGTTTACACTGGCTTCAACGTCATGCACCTCGACTCACTACATATTGGCTTTAGCCACGGCTCACTCTCTGGATGTTTACTGCTACAAAACTTGCACTGCTTTAACGTCTAGGGTTGACAACACAAACGCCGCTCAACTTCTTTTTACATTCTGTCAGTTTATTCTGGTCCATTCATTTCACATGTTCAAACATTATTCACACTTTATCACTCGCGTCATATTCCAACACTAACCATTCGCGCGACATAAAAACGACATCTTCAATTACTACAACCGTCTTCTCTGACTTCTCATGATCGACTGACCACGAGGCTAGCTCGGGCTTTCCCTCGCTTACTCGACTAGGCACAAGTATCTCGTGCTGTCCCTTGTTGCACGGACTTTCTGCTTGCCACAATGTAATCGTGAAGACCATGCTCAGCACCTCATCACAGTACAGAAAGTAGAGAAAATCAAATGTCTCTTGGGCTAGAATTTCCCTTTATCCCACAATGTACAGAAAGGACTCATATTGCTACTGTAGGTAGCCATTTTTGGGAGAATTATGTCAGGCATTGGACATTTTTTAATGGAGAGGTTTTGTTTTTAGAATAGGTGACATATGATTGATGATTAACAAAGATTATTGCAGATTTGAACTTTTACTTATTGGAACAGGGTCCAAGGGAGCAAGATTAATCATTGAAATAGAATTTGATTCTGTCCTCTTTAAAAAAAAATGTAGATACCACTATGGCATCAGAAAGCAAGCAAGAATGCAGAAAGACTTGTGATATGGGTAAGATTGGTCATGTATTTAAAGTGTGCTTTGTGTCGTTGTTTTCACAAAATGTTCTTAGAGACATTTTGGATAGTTTTACTTGACAGTAAAAGACTATGAGAGGAAGGAGGGGCTAGTTATCTATCAGTATTTGTTGTCAAAGAAGCCTTGGTAGCTCAGTGGCTAGAGCACTCACCTCCTGCTCCTGAGCTCAAAACCCCCTTGAGGTGGGAATGTGTTTTCACAAATCGACTCAGCCTTATAGTAATGGCTACTAAACATGTTCTAGTCAGAAAACTGTCCAACATATTTGTTAAGTGCCAGTTGGTCTAAAAATTTAGACTTGTGTATATTGGGGGGGAGGGGGGGGGGGGGGGGGGGTGAGCTGTCAGGGCTGTTGACTAATATTCTGTTTTCATGGTCTTAAGTGAACACTGTTGTCATAGTCTTTGGTGAACACTGTTGTCATAGTCTTTGGTAAATGCTCTGTTGTCATAGTCTTTGGTAAATGCTCTGTTGTCATAGTCTTTGGTAAATGCACTGTTGTCATAGTCTTTGGTAAATGCTCTGTTGTCATAGTCTTTGGTAAATGCACTGTTGTCATAGTCTTTGGTGAATGCTCTGTTGTCATAGTCTTTGGTGAATGCTCTGTTGTCATAGTCTTTGGTAAATGCTCTGTTGTCATAGTCTTTGGTGAATGCTCTGTTGTCATAGTCTTTGGTGAATGCTCTGTTGTCATAGTCTTTGGTGAATGCTCTGTTGTCATAGTCTTTGGTGAACACTCTGTTGTCATAGTCTTTGGTGAATGCTCTGTTGTCATAGTCTTTGGTGAATGCACTGTTGTCATAGTCTCAGGTGAATGTTCTGTTGTCATAGTCTTTGGTGAATGCTCTGTTGTCATAGTCTCAGGTGAATGCTCTGTTGTCATAGTCTTTGGTGAATGCTCTGTTGTCATAGTCTCAGGTGAATGCTCTGTTGTCATAGTCTTTGGTGAATGCTCTGTTGTCATAGTCTTTGGTGAATGCTCTGTTGTCATAGTCTTTGGTGAATGCTCTGTTGTCATAGTCTTTGGTGAATGCTCTGTTGTCATAGTCTTTGGTGAATGCTCTGTTGTCATAGTCTTTGGTGAATGCTCTGTTGTCATAGTCTTTGGTGAATGCTCTGTTGTCATAGTCTTTGGTGAATGCTCTGTTGTCATAGTCTTTGGTGAATGCTCTGTTGTCATAGTCTTTGGTGAATGCTCTGTTGTCATAGTCTTTTTGGTGAATGCTCTGTTGTCATAGTCTTTGGTGAATGCTCTGTTGTCATAGTCTTTGGTGAATGCTCTGTTGTCATAGTCTTTGGTGAATGCTCTGTTGTCATAGTCTTTGGTGAATGCTCTGTTGTCATAGTCTTTGGTGAATGCTCTGTTGTCATAGTCTTTGGTGAATGCTCTGCTCTGTTGTGGTGAATGCTCTGTTGTCATAGTCTTTGGTGAATGCTCTGTTGTCATAGTCTTTGGTGAAGTCTGTTGTCATAGTCTTTGGTGCTCTGTTGTCATAGTCTTTGGTGAATGCTCTGTTGTCATAGTCTTTGGTGAATGCTCTGTTGTCATAGTCTTTGGTGAATGCTCTGTTGTCATAGTCTTTGGTGAATGCTCTGTTGTCATAGTCTTTGGTGAATGCTCTGTTGTCATAGTCTTTGGTGAATGCTCTGTTGTCATAGTCTTTGGTGAATGCTCTGTTGTCATAGTCTTTGGTGAATGCTCTGTTGTCATAGTCTTTGGTGAATGCTCTGTTGTCATAGTCTTTGGTGAATGCTCTGTTGTCATAGTCTTTGGTGAATGCTCTGTTGTCATAGTCTTTGGTGAATGCTCTGTTGTCATAGTCTTTGGTGAATGCTCTGTTGTCATAGTCTTTGGTGAATGCTCTGTTGTCATAGTCTTTGGTGAATGCTCTGTTGTCATAGTCTTTGGTGAATGCTCTGTTGTCATAGTCTTTGGTGAATGCTCTGTTGTCATAGTCTTTGGTGAATGCTCTGTTGTCATAGTCTTTGGTGAATGCTCTGTTGTCATAGTCTTAGGTTTGTCATAGTCTTAGGTGAACACTCTGTTGTCATAATGAATGCTCTGTTGTCATAGTCTTTGGTGAATGCTCTGTTGTCATAGTCTTTGGTGAATGCTCTGTTGTCATAGTCTTTGGTGAATGCTCTGTTGTCATAGTCTTAGGTGAATGCTCTGTTGTCATAGTCTTTGGTGAATGCTCTGTTGTCATAGTCTTAGGTGAATGCTCTGTTGTCATAGTCTTTGGTGAATGCTCTGTTGTCATAGTCTTTGGTGAATGCTCTGTTGTCATAGTCTTTGGTGAATGCTCTGTTGTCATAGTCTTTGGTGAATGCTCTGTTGTCATAGTCTTTGGTGAATGCTCTGTTGTCATAGTCTTTGGTGAATGCTCTGTTGTCATAGTCTTTGGTGAATGCTCTGTTGTCATAGTCTTTGGTGAATGCTCTGTTGTCATAGTCTTTGGTGAATGCTCTGTTGTCATAGTCTTTGGTGTCTGTTGTCATAGTCTTTGGTGAATGCTCTGTTGTCATAGTCTTTGGTGAATGCTCTGTTGTCATAGTCTTTGGTGAATGCTCTGTTGTCATAGTCTTTGGTGAATGCTCTGTTGTCATAGTCTTTGGTGAATGCTCTGTTGTCATAGTCTTTGGTGAATGCTCTGTTGTCATAGTCTTTGGTGAATGCTCTGTTGTCATAGTCTTTTTGGTGAATGCTCTGTTGTCATAGTCTTTGGTGAATGCTCTGTTGTCATAGTCTTTGGTGAATGCTCTGTTGTCATAGTCTTTGGTGAATGCTCTGTTGTCATAGTCTTTGGTGAATGCTCTGTTGTCATAGTCTTTGGTGAATGCTCTGTTGTCATAGTCTTTGGTGAATGCTCTGTTGTCATAGTCTTTGGTGAATGCTCTGTTGTCATAGTCTTTGGTGAATGCTCTGTTGTCATAGTCTTTGGTGAATGCTCTGTTGTCATAGTCTTTGGTGAATGCTCTGTTGTCATAGTCTTTGGTGAATGCTCTGTTGTCATAGTCTTTGGTGAATGCTCTGTTGTCATAGTCTCTGCTCTGTTGTCATAGTCTTTGGTGAATGCTCTGTTGTCATAGTCTTTGGTGAATGCTCTGTTGTCATAGTCTTTGGTGAATGCTCTGTTGTCATGTTGGTGAATAGTCTGTTGTCATAGTGGAATGCTCTGTTGTCATAGTCTTTGGTGAATGCTCTGTTGTTGTCATAGTCTTTGGTGAATGCTCTGTTGTCATAGTCTTTGGTGAATGCTCTGTTGTCATAGTCTTTGGTGAATGCTCTGTTGTCATAGTCTTTGGTGAATGCTCTGTTGTCATAGTCTTTGGTGAATGCTCTGTTGTCATAGTCTTTGGTGAATGCTCTGTTGTCATAGTCTTTGGTGAATGCTCTGTTGTCATAGTCATAGTCTGCTGCTCTGTTGTCATAGTCTTTGGTGAATGCTCTGTTGTCATAGTCTTTGGTGAATGCTCTGTTGTCATAGTCTTTGGTGAATGCTCTGTTGTCATAGTCTTTGGTGAATGCTCTGTTGTCATAGTCTTTGGTGAATGCTCTGTTGTCATAGTCTTTGGTGAATGCTCTGTTGTCATAGTCTTTGGTGAATGCTCTGTTGTCATAGTCTTTGGTGAATGCTCTGTTGTCATAGTCTTTGGTGAATGCTCTGTTGTCATAGTCTTTGGTGAATGCTCTGTTGTCATAGTCTTTGGTGAATGCTCTGTTGTCATATTGGTGAATGCTCTGTTGTCATAGTCTTTGGGTGAATGCTCTGTTGTCATAGTCTTTGGTGAATGCTCTGTTGTCATAGTCTTTGGTGAATGCTCTGTTGTCATAGTCTTTGGTGAATGCTCTGTTGTCATAGTCTTTGGTGAATGCTCTGTTGTCATAGTCTTTGGTGAATGCTCTGTTGTCATAGTCTTTGGTGAATGCTCTGTTGTCATAGTCTCAGGTGAATGCTCTGTTGTCATAGTCTCAGGTGAATGCTCTGTTGTCATAGTCTTTGGTGAATGCTCTGTTGTCATAGTCTTTGGTGAATGCTCTGTTGTCATAGTCTTTGGTGAATGCTCTGTTGTCATCTGTTGTCATAGTCTTTGGTGAATGCTCTGTTGTCATAGTCTTTGGTGAATGCTCTGTTGTCATAGTCTTTGGTGAATGCTCTGTTGTCATAGTCATAGTTTGGTGAATGCTCTGTTGTCATGAATGCTCTGTTGTCTTTGGTGAATGCTCTGTTGTCATAGTCTTTGGTGAATGCTCTGTTGTCATAGTCTCAGGTGAATGCTCTGTTGTCATAGTCTTTGGTGAATGCTCTGTTGTCATAGTCTTTGGTGAATGCTCTGTTGTCATAGTCTCAGGTGAATGCTCTGTTGTCATAGTCTTTGGTGAATGCTCTGTTGTCATAGTCTTTGGTGAATGCTCTGTTGTCATAGTCTTTGGTGAATGCTCTGTTGTCATAGTCTCAGGTGAATGCTCTGTTGTCATAGTCTTTGGTGAATGCTCTGTTGTCATAGTCTTTGGTGAATGCTCTGTTGTCATAGTCTTTGGTGAATGCTCTGTTGTCATAGTCTTTGGTGAATGCTCTGTTGTCATAGTCTTTGGTGAATGCTCTGTTGTCATAGTCTTTGGTGAATGCTCTGTTGTCATAGTCTTTGGTGAATGCTCTGTTGTCATAGTCTTTGGTGAATGCTCTGTTGTCATAGTCTTTGGTGAATGCTCTGTTGTCATAGTCTTTGGTGCTCTGTTGTCATAGTCTTTGGTGAATGCTCTGTTGTCATAGTCTTTGGTGAATGCTCTGTTGTCATAGTCTTTGGTGAATGCTCTGTTGTCATAGTCTGTCATAGTCTTTGGTGAATGCTCTGTTGTCATAGTCTTTGGTGAATGCTCTGTTGTCATAGTCTTTGGTGAATGCTCTGTTGTCATAGTCTTTGGTGAATGCTCTGTTGTCATAGTCTCAGGTGAATGCTCTGTTGTCATA